GAATGATGGAGGCAACAGACATAGAAATTGACACAAGCTCTGCGGTGGTGTTGCTTTCCCCCCTGCGCCCCTGTGCTCTGCCCTGTGCCCTGGTGCTCTGACAGTGGTGTTTCCAAAGGCAAATGGCACTAACCCCTCAAACTGTAATAGGTGTGCCCTGGCCTGGTGGGTCTGACAGAGGCAGGGGCAGGAGCCTCTCGGGCACAGGTTTCTCAGGGCTTTCAGCTTCTCCAATAGTAACAGCACTCTTCTGGCCAGGTGGGTGCCTGCACTGACCAGATGCAAGCAGGGAAGACTGTCCATCACAGTCACAGTCCTGGCCCCTCCTGTTGCGACACAGGAGTTTGGACACACGGGGCTCAAGGGCTCTGATCACAGTTGGGGACACAGTGGCCCCTTCACCCAGGTGGTAGTCGGCTTTGCCCATGCAGCTGATGTGCTCTGGCCTGCTGGTTCCCAGGCCCTGCACACCAGATTAGCACGAGGGTCCCCTGGCTCCTGGGTCCCCAGAGGGGCTGTTGCCTCCGGTAGTAACAGTTGTGCTCTGGCAGGGGCGGTCCCGAGTGGTCTGACTTTAGTCAGTGAGAAGAGCGTCTCCCAGGAGAGTTTTGCTCTCCAGAGCACTGGCCCTTTCTGTTTCAAAGCAAGTGTCGCCCAGGAGCTCGACTGTTGGCAGGAGCACAGAGGCAGTGAAGGTGCTGGCCCTTTGGTGCAGACAATGGGCCCCCAAAGAAGACTCCCCAGCACAGGTGAGGCACTGTCCCTTTCCTGCAGTAGCTGGGTCCCGGGTGATTTGAACAGCAGGAGGAGTAGCAGTGTCTATGGCCCAGGTTCCTTCTCAGTGACGCTGTCTCCTCGTAGGAGTGTGTTTGGGCTGGGCAGGCCCTACGTTCTAGGCAGGAAGGAGTTCCTCAGGACACATTAGTTTTCAGAAGTACTGGCCTCTCCAGTTGCAACAGGAGTATAATCGGCTGACAGGACCTCAAGGCTGTGTCTGAGCTCCCCCCGCCATAGGATGCGCTGCTGGCTATCCTACAAGGCCTTGCTCCAAAGTTGCCTGTTCCGCATGTACAGGACTTGAGTCCTACAGTGACCCTCCTAAACTGCCGCTTCCCTACTATTACAAGGCACTAAAACGCCCATAAATCTGCATGGGTCTCCAGTGGTGGCGGCAAGATTTGAGCAACTGTCCTTGGTGCTGAACATGGTGGTGGCAGGGAAAAGTGGCCTCGCCAGTCAACCCCAGTGCCACCAAGAGTTGTCTGGGTGCTGTCAGGGATGCCAGAGCTGAAGCATGGAAGAGTCAGAAGCCAAAGCTCATCAAGTTGTGCTGCTCTTGGGTTACAGGGTCTCAGTAGAAGTCAAGCATGGAGCTTCTGCTGGGACTAGCAGGTTCCCCAAATTAAAGGCTATGAAGAGGAGGCCAGAAGATGGCAGGCTGGGGGCAGAGCATGATCTCCATACCAGTTTCATTGGAGTCAAAGGCAGGCTTGGATGCGAGTCTGAGGAGGTGCTGATTATTGGAGTGGGTGACGCTGGCAGAATCAGTGCCCAGAGAAGACAGAGGTGCTGGAGAGACTGGCTCCCTGTGGTTGCCCAAATACAGGACCCCACACTGTGGAGCAAGGGCAGTTTTGCCCCAAAGAGAAGGTTGAAAATGGAGGTAGGGATACTGGTCATACAAGCAGGTGTGCTGGAGGTGACTGAGCTTTGCAGGAGGCATGTGCTGCAGGCCAGGGTCACCCTGGCCAAATCAGAAGGGCCAGCACTGCCTTGTGGTGGATGCCTGAAGAGGAAAGCTCGGGAGACAGGGTCGCATCGTGTCAGTTACCTCAATATCTAACGCACCCAAGACGTCCATCTGCAGACAGGCTGACTGGCAGTGAAAGCTGACACAGTGATGAACGAGCTAGCTACGGAAGAGGGGGCTGCCTGAAGGGGACTTCAAGAGAAATCTGTAGGCAAAGGGAGTGAAGTCGCACAAATAGGTGTGGAGGACTCAGCCCTGAGGAAGGTAGGCTTTAAGTAGAGGGGTGGGTGCTAGGCGGTGCTGCCAAGAGGCGTAGAAGGGATGTCTGAGGGGCTGGAACGCAGAGGGTCTTTTTTGTCATTACGTAGAACCCCCAAATATGGGTTGGAAACAAAAGTGGAAAACAGCAGGAGCCCTGAGCATGCCACCCCTCACAATTTCTGTCTTCTAATTTCTGGATGTCTCTCTTGTGTCTTTTTCTTTAACTCAGACTTGGGCCAGGTGTTCCACACAGCCGCACGTCACCCCAAGAGGGTGTGCATGGCGCCAGCTTCTCAGACCTGGAGGAACAGTAACCAAAGAGTGTATGCAATCCTGCAGTGGTGGGAACCTTCTAGACTAGGATAGAACAACATGACTTCTCTCTCTGGCATTGCGTCTCAGCTTCGTGAGCCTTTGCTCACTGCTTGCACTTCCGAGACCTTCCCGCACTCGGGAACGCATCTGTTTTGATCAAGTGATTCTTTCCCAGGTTGTCTTACATTTTCTTGCTTCCCACCCTGTATGTGCGTTTTCACTGGGTGCTAGACATTGATGCTATGTTGTGAGAGTTTAGCTGTCTTTTGTCTTTTTGTAAAGCATCTGGGGCTTGGCTTTACGTGACAGGTATCCCCATCGATGGATCTGATCCGTTTCAGACCTGTTCCGAGAACTTTCTTCTGAGATGGTCCAGAGTAGTCTTCACCACAAGGTGCTCGCAACATTTTAAGAAAGCCTGACCTACTGGGTCTCCAATCCATGTCCTTGGACCCCAGAGAGCTTGTGCATTGCCCTTCTGACTTTCCCCAGCTTGGTGTATTTCTTTAACTTGGTGCATGGAGCTTAGCACTATGCTTAGATGACCTTTTACTCAGCAGAAACTAAAGGAAACACCTATAAAACCCCAGAGTTCATCTCTTCCACCATGCCTTCCTGAGGATGCTGCTATGCTCATTTTTCTTGTTTTTTCCTGTTTCTTTTTCCAGCTGAGGGAATGACGAAGTAGCCGGCTAGGGAGCCGGCCTGCAAGAGCTGGCCACAAGCTGGCTGGCAAGGGCTGTTGTAACATAGCAGACTGAGGCTGGTGCTGGAGGGAGCAGAAAGCTGACAGGCAGAGGTTGGTTGCCACAAGAGATGTGTCAGGAAATTGTAGCAGGGTGGTCCCCAGGAAAAGTGGAGGTTCCTGCCCCACCCAAAGGAGGGTGGAGCTGCGCAGGGAGAAGAATCTGGAGAAGAGACTGAGGAAGAAGGAAGCAAGAGGACGCCAGGAGGCCTGAGGGAGGCACAGGGAGCAGAGAGATGTAAAGAAACGGCTCTTGTTTCTTGGCCCTGGGCTGGTTGAAACAGATATGTGTGAGACCCATGGGGAGGGGAGTATGGCGGGTTTATCTTGATTTTGCTCTTTTCCTCCCATATTCTCTGGCCATTTCTGACCCTTTCCTATGAGTCCTGGCCAGAAGGTGCTTTAGACTTGTGGGGGGCTTTCAGGCCTTGCTTTGGGCCAACTCCTTTTGGGTGTTTGATTTAGAAACTATATTCTTTGTTTGCTGTAGTGCACACTAATTGTATTAAAGTTCCTTTCCATGAAAGGTCTGATATGTTTTGTCTTGTTGCAGCAGATGGCAGAACCTATTTAGGTTTGAGGGATCAGGGGTGCCCCTTTCCCCACCCTATAACAAAATAACAGTAGCTCAAGGTGGCTTCACACCTCTGGGTGGCAATGTGTGGCAATGAGGCAGACAAGGGTAGTGGAGTCCTAAGAAAAGGAAATCTATCCCCAATAATAATGGGCTCTTCCTTCTGCTGTCAGGAGTCTCTCTCGCAATAAACCTGAGCTTGCTAACTTCAGTCAGTGTGTCGGTGATTATTCCTCAGTCACTAGAAAACAGGAACTCGGCCAGGCAGCAACATAGCCACCTCAGATTCCCCAGTTTTTTCACAATGCTGGTGCGCACCAGCCGGCAACAGGGCCCAACATTCTGGGTGGCTCCCCCAGCTCAGAGCGAGAGCCGGAGGAGGGTGGGCGCGCTCCTGGGCACGCACAGCGCAGCCAGGCCACATTGCCCTTACCCAGAATGCTCCGCGCTGAGTGGCAGTGGCACTGGCCCAATGGAGGCGCAGGAAGACGGGGCTTGTTTGGCGCGAAAGATAGAGGTGGGACTACCGGTCTCACTTGCTTCGCGGCTGGTCCACCCGGTCAGAACTTCCAGAGCGCGCAGGGTCCGGCCTGAGCCACCCCAAGACACAGCCCAGGAGGAAGCGTTGTCCTCACCACACCCACGAGAATCTCAGGTTCGGAAGGGGCGCCGCTGGGGTGATCCCACCCCAGGACTGGGCTGCAGGCGCGAGGCGAGAGCCCCTGTCACCGACCTCCCGCGGGCTCCGATTCAGCGGTCACACTGGCCACAGCAGCTGGCATGGCGTGGTGCTTAGTCCTTTGCGCCCTCTCCCACCTCCCATCCGATTTTTGTCTCCTAAAGCCCTAAATTAAAGGGACCTGCTCCTGATCGCTACAGGAGGCCTGAGGGGGGGGGAGGACGGAGTGGGGGCCCGGGGAGGGGGCGGGTGCACCTGGGTGACGTCTCACTTCTGAAGCAATGTGAGGAAACACGGGAGGGCGGCTGTCCCAGGAGCCAGGGGTCCGTGCTGTTTTAATGGAACGGGGTGTAAAGGGGAGTCGTGCCTGGAACGGCAGGTGGGTGCTCCGGACCTGCCTGCGGCTGGCGCTGCGATCCAGAGGCTTGTGAACAGAAGAAGGTTTTTAGGGTTTTTGAGCTGCTCAACGGAAGAACAAAATGAAAAGGGGTGATACGCCACGACGCACAGGGAGCGTGAGTCCTCGTCCAGAGACACACAGCTGATAAGAGGCAGTACTGAGCATTGGGCTAGCGAGGTTGTACATCACCTGGTTCCGGGCCAGGAGAGATGCAAGGGAGCCCCGAGACTACGGTGCCCTTCAAGTTCTCATGGCTCCCCACTTCCCACAGGTTCCATGGCTACTGGAGCAGTGAAGGAGCCTCGTGCACAGGTAAGTACGCACTGCCCCTCCCCCCACCTCAAAGCTGGCCGCAGCCGCAGTTCATCCCAGCCAGGGAGTGACCCACACGGGGCAGCAGACCTCTCCTGTGGCTCCCCTCAGCAGTGTACTTTATCAATCTGCCTGTTCTGCTCCCCACTCTGTCTCTGGTGAGTCCTCTCACTCGCAAACTTCTCGGACACTCCAGTTTCTTATGTGTACAAATAAATAAAATACATCTTTAAAAAATAAAAAGAAAGAAATTCCTGAGTCTGACAACCAACGAAAAGAGGTGTGGGAAGTTATTCCAGGCATAGGTACCAAGATTCACAAATACTTGAAGTTGAATGTGAACCGAAGCATTCAGAGAATCACAGGAGCGGGGGACGGTGTTGGTTTTTTGAAAAAAATAAAACAAAATCCTCGTGACCATTTATCATACCTCCCCACCCTTACTACCACCCCCTACCCTAATTACCACTGGTTGCCTCAGCTCAGTTGCCAGCGTCTACTAATTATTTCTGTTCTGTTGTGTCTGCTTATCGGCTTTCTTTCCTTATATTGCACATTTTGGTAAAACAGTCCAATGTTTGTCTTTCTCTTTCTGACAAGTTTCAGCCTCACATCACCCCCGAGGTCCTGTCACCTCCCCTGTGTTGCAGTGGGTAGAACCCCAGAGTGTGTAAATGCCACGCCTTCACCCAGCCCACTATCCTGCGGCTGCTTCCCTGTCTTAGCTGTTGTGAACAATGCTGCAGGGAGTTGGGCCTGGGCCGTGGTTAGGCAGGCGGAGGAAGGTTGTGACTGAGGAAGCAGCAGGTGTAACACAGAAGAGGACCAGCGGGAGCTGAAGTTCATAGGTGGTTCCGAAAGACGGAGGTTGACACAAGCCTCTGAACAGCCAGGGAGGCTGCCAGAGTGGGGTCAGGCTGCGGCTGCAGGGTCGTTGGCGGTGAGGAGCGACACCGACTCCTGCTTGCAGGTGCCTATCACGGTCATGGTGCTGTGTAGTGAGCAGCAACAGGGACACCAGGGAGAGGTTTATGGCGTGGGGCCGGGAAGCAGTGTGGGGCGCTGGGGTAGGACACGAGAGGTGCTGTCTAGAGAACAGGATAGGGAGGGGATGGCAACAGGCGTTGCCGGTACCCGTGTACTAGGGACGTAGGGGTGAAAGATGGGCCCAGATGTGTTTCGGGGAAGCACCATCTGGGAGACTTCCGGGAAACTGCCTGGCAGAAGAGGTGAAGCCCTGCACAAGGGCCAGAGCTTCTGGCAACCATGTGCCCACCTGCCCCAAGGCTGAGCGTCAGACATGGAAACTGAGCCATAAGGAGGGACCAGACGCAGATAGAGGGCACCAGGATCTGACCCCTGACCCAGCTTATGGAATGGGGGGGCAGAGTGAGCTTGAGGTGGCTATGCGGGGAAGGGAACTGGGGTCCTTGGAATCCCCTCATGGGCTCATCTCCTCTGACAGGGCCCAGTGGCCTTTGAGGACGTGGCCGTGTACTTCTCCTGGGAGGAGTGGGTACTTCTCGATGCGGCTCAGAAGCTCCTGTATTTCGACGTGATGCTGGAGAACTTCGCCCTCGTGTCCTCCCTAGGTAAGCCTCTCAGGCCTCCAATAACTCTGCCTTTCTCTTTCTTCCCAGGACGGAGCCTCCTCACACAAGGCCCTTGAGCTTGGCTTCCTCCCCCAGTTTCCCGGATGGAAGATCTTGTTCTCAGGCTGAGCGGTTACACTCTTATCCCCTTCCCACACAGTCCCAACTCCTGCCAGGGAGGGGTCAAGTCTTGCCCTCCTTTCGCACTGCCCCTGGCTTTCCCGCTCCCTGACCAGGCCACCCCTACCCAGGCTGGACCCCTGCGCCCTGCTCGCGCATCTGCAGCCGCCACAGTTAGAGCAGCAGTCACTGACAGTCGCTGCCTCTGTGGACCGTGGCCATGGGTTGTTCCTGCAAGGTCCCCCGTGAGGTTTCTGTGTACTGCTTTTTCTTTCCTCTGGCCTGTCGCTGGGACTTGCTCTGGGCAGTAGTCACCACACCCTCAGTGCTGTGCCTCCCAGGTGCCGTGGGGGAGGGTCAGAGGAGGGCCATGGGAATGCTGGGGGAGGGGGAAATGTGACTCCAGCTACACAAAGGTCCTGGCCCTGCTGAGCAGCAGGTGAGAGACACGACATCAGGTGAGTTCAGGGGGGCGTGAGTCGCAGGCCCTGGCTCTCTGCGCCGCATGCCTTTCTCATGTCCTCTGCCTGGTCCCACCCTGTGTCCTTCATTCCTCCATGTTGAGACTTTGCGAGGCCCACTGCGGGCGTCGCAACTGCTCCCTCAACCCGACCTGACTTCCGCCTCACGGTGGCATCCTGGTGGACTCAGACTCAGTTTCGGTGTAGCTGTCCCTTTCCACCAGCGTCAGCGTGCCCTTGACTTGCCTTTCTTTACTTTTAGGTTATTTGCATGGCGTGAGAGAGGAGAAGCCACCTTTTGAACAGAATGTTTCTATAGAAGATATATCACAGGTCAGGACGCCCCAAGCAGGTCCCTCAGAAAGCCCACTGTGGGAGACGTGTCTGTTTTGAGAGTCCACAACAGAGCACACGTACCAGGCAGAAACCAAACATGGGTGTGTGGGAAATGACGCTTTCATATAAACACTTTGCAGGCGCAACACAGTAGAGAGAAGCCCTCAGAAGAGATGTGGCCAGACCTGGGGTGTGCAGAGCTGCAAACTCCGCGCGCACTGGCAGTCGCTCGCATGGGAAACAGCCATGAGGTGTGGCAAATCCAGGAAGCCTTCCGGCACAAACTCCCACCCAGCTGCAGAGTCCATACTAGGGAGAAGACCATGAGTTCCGCTGACATAAACACCTGTCCTTGCCTGTGAATTCATACTGGAGAAAGGCTTCATTGGTGCAGTGAATATGGGGGAGACTTTCCTTAAAGCTTCAGCCTACTGAACACCAGAGAATTCTCACTGAAGAAGAATCTTATGAAATGCAAAAAATGCAAGAAATTTTCTAACTGCAATTCTAGCCTCATTCAACACCAAGGAGTTTCTGTCTGATGGGTCAAGGTCTTGAAGGTTCAGCAAATGTGGGAAATTCTATTATCCAAATTTCTTATGGTACTAAAGAGAATTCATACTGGAGCAAGGCCTTCTGGATGTAAGGGGTGTGGGAAAGCCTTAAGGGAAAGCTCCATCCTCATGAAACATGAGAGAATGCAGGTTGGAGGAGAGCCTTAGGAGTACAAGGAATGTGGGCAATGCTTTAACAAAAGCACCTACCTTATTCAGCCCCAAAGTTCTCACACCAGGAAAGACCTTATGGAGTGCGGAAGGTGTGAAAAGCTTTCAGTTCAAAGTCTGCTCTGATTTACCACTAAAAGCTTAATAAGTTAATAGGAGAAACCTTTCGCCAAAGGCCTCTCTTTACCTTTGTGCAGTGGATAGGCAAAAATCCACACTGGGCAAAAGTGTTACAGTGCTATGCCTAGGAGCGCCTTCAGCCAGAGAATTTTCTGAATTAGCACTAAATGTTCACTCAGAGACGGTATGAATGCAGTAAATTCAGAAAATCTTCACCCTCAAGTCTAGGCTCATTCTGAAACTCAAAGTTCTCGATGCACAAAAACCTCCTGAGTGTAGTCATACGAGAGGCTTTCAGCTGACAGCTACCTCATGCAGCACCAGCAAATCAGCATAGAACAGTTACGTTACACATACACAGGATGTCCGTTTGCCTTGTTCAGGACATGGTAACCCTGAAGGGAGCCTCGGCGAGAAATGCATCGGCCTAAACTTCAACCTTGTGTACCTGAACACCCACACTGAGGATGATGAAAATAAAGAGTGAAAATACAGGAGAATATTCAAGACCTGTGGGCCAATTACCAAAGCTATGATAGAGATAAAGAGGGACTACCAGAAGGAAAACAGGGAGGAGCAGCAGAAATACTAAAAGTGGCTAAGGGTTTTCTGAAATTAATGACATACATAAACCAAAGATCCAAGAACCTTAGAATACCAAGCACAACAAATATCAAAGAATCTATACCAAGACCTACCTGTTCAAAATTGTAAAAAATTAAGAAGACGGCCCTCCCTGGTGGCTGAATGGGTTAGGACTCAGCACTGCGAGCCAGCCGCAGCCGCTTCACTACGAGTTCAATCCCCGGCCCTGGAGGTGACCCACATGGCGCGGCAGACCTCTCCTGACCTGTCCACTGCTCCCCTCAGCAGTGTACTTCGTCAGTGGGCCTGTTCTGCTCTCCACTCTGTCTCGGGTGAATCTTCTCACCACCCCTGTTCCTCTAGCCTGTACCCCAGTTCTATATGCATAAATATCTTTAAAATAAATATGTTTTAAAAAAGGAAAGCAGAGCAGCTATATTAATATCATGAAGCAAAGAGCACTTAAACTCAATGGTAGGAAAATGACCCACTTGAAAAATGGGTTAAAAGTCTGAAAAAGGGCCCTCCCTGGTGGCGCAGCGGGTTAAAGCACAGCACTGAGAATCTAAAGCCGCTTCCGCATGAGTTCGATTCC